GGGAAAGAGAGATGTACGTACAAAAGACACTTCAATACTTAAATTAATCATCGATTTCAAAGATATCAATGCTAATCAAACTGGTAATTATAAAAATGTACCTTTCTTTATCTCTAATCACACTTGTTTATACTAACTTTAATGGGTCTAGGCCCATATGTAAGCTCATAAGAGGATCCATTAGTGCTTATCCGTAATAAACAAGTTAAGTAGGTTATTGTAATGAGCCGATGACTCCTCAATGTAATTATATCGATGAGTCCTCGGTCCTTTTCTTATATTTAACCTGATACTCATACCATTATCTGGTATATCATGCATTAAAAGAAAAGTATTTTTAAAAAAGTATCATTAAATAAAACAAAATAGTTAAATTTACTATATTTAAAAAATTACTTATAATAAGAAAAAGAGGAAGTATAAACCAACATCTTCACTTTATCCTCAGAGTCAGAATCTGTATTCTCGTGATTTTGCAAGAAATGGTGTGAAAATCACAAGGCAAGCGGTTATTTGACTGGGTAACTTGTGATTGACTATAAAGTTTAAAAGTCCACATCATACAGGTACTTGATGTCTCAATGGTTCTAATATATATGTTGGCGAACGTGGCTATTATCTTTTTCAGCTATGGTTCTACTATTCACTCGTGGCAAGTTAATAAAAAAGGATTTATAATAAATTCATAAGTTACTTTCTCAAACACAATTAATTTATGTATAAATTCGTGATAATGTATGTTTTCATATATGTCTTGTCCGAACTTGGGCTGATTGACCATTCAAGAGTTGTTTTCAAAACAAATTATTCAAATGAGACTGTTCTATAACTATTTTTATCTTTGAGATTGTTAGTAACAGTGTCGTTATATGCCATAGTAACATTAGTACCACGTGTTAAATTTTTTTTTAGAAGCCATGAACCCCATATTACAAAAGTCGCTATAGTCCATAGCGCCTCTCCTAAAGTTGCTACAGCCAATAGCGATACACAACGGCTTGATGCATATTTTAAAATTATTAATTAAATATGAATAAAAAAATTATTTAAATTTGTAGTATATAATAATATTA